GTACAGCAAGTGTAGAGCTGTTCTAACCATGGTACATGCTTTTATTCAGCGACAGCCCAAACGCACTTTTGGCCAGGACTACTAGAGCATCGCAGAGAGCCCGTTCCTTGTGGAAAGCTGGTCGTCACCGCGTAAACCGGCCAGACTACTTGCCCTATCTGCGCATGGCCTGAAGCGTGGAGGGCTTACGCTGCAGCAGGTGGTTCGGCAGTCACAGTGCGTGTTGAGTAAGCGAAGCGCTGTACGCAACTAGCCATGCAGTAAACGATCTGACTCTGTGTGACTTTACCGCGTTAAAAAAAAAAAAAGCTGAGTCAGTTTCGCTTAGAAGGAGACTGCGGAAGAACTGTATCACGAACAGCTGATTGTGTCCGTTCTGCTGCTGTACCACGCTCCGTATCCTGGATCCTGCAGTAGTTTCGAAATGCTCCATGGCATCGCCACTGCATGCTATCGGGCGGTTGTGCGAGAATCAATCTTTTCTGCACTTTCTGCGAGAGTCAAAATCTTTCTGCGTGGGCTATAAGAAAGAAATGGCTTTGTGGTGGGCACTTTAGGCAGTATTTCCTGTGGCACTGAATTTATTCCTTTCTTGGCAACGATGGTGCATGTCAGGAGATGCAACATTGTTGCTGCTGGTTAATGCACAGTATGCTTAGTCTGTAGTTATGCCGCCGTCCTCGGCAGGTACATATTAACGAGGTTTCACTTTAGTATGCGCATCACCCTGTGTAGTCTTTGGTTTTCTTAGACCTCGTACCTCGCAGATCATTACAAGATGAAGCAGCACCAGTTAGCTTTCATTGCAGCCTCACTGGAATTCTCTTCAGACAAAATGAAAGTGGAGTAGATTTCCTTTTGCAGATTTCCAGCTGTTATAGCCAAGAAAAAGAATTCGACCATGAGACTGCTTTTGGAATCTGTTTTTATCCGGATGACTGAAGCTGTCAACAAGGCAGATGGGAATCGATTTGCCAGCTACAAGCTGCACCCATTCATTACATCACTTTTCAGTTTAAAAAAGCTACATACTGCTCTTGCCTGCTTAGTGTGAACAAGAAACCTGTATTGGTCCCGGAAGGTCCCTGTGTTCTTCCACCTTGACTTGGTCAGTGACTGCATGTACAGATGGGTTCACTGGAACAGCACATGTTTTGCTTTTGCTATCTTACAGAAACATAATAGCGTAGATTTGCAAAAGACTACTGTCGGTTCACTGCTCTGATTCCTCTTGGCAGACTAATGACTAGAGGCCAGATTTGTAGCCACTAGGAAACCGGGTTTTAAGTGCCCAAAATAGGCGGGCAAAACACTTCTAGGTCCCCAGAATCGTAAATACAGTCACAATAAACTTCAACAACTTATAAATTTTAAAGTAATACATCATGGATCTGTGTCTAAGACAGGAAACCAAACAGAAATGCTATAGTTTATGATGGTACAAAGAAGCTAATAGTATAGCATAGCCATGCATTTTTTGCCGCAGGGTTTGTAGAATACGGTCTCTTCTTTTCTGATGTTGTAGGCCCGTGTGCTCAGATTTGGGTGCACGTTAAAGAACCCCAGGTGGTCGAAATTTCCGGAGCCCTCCACTACGGCGTCTCTCATAATCATATGGTGATTTTGGGATGTTAAACCCCACAAATCAATCAATCAAATCTTGTTTTTTAATCCAGCATGGTGATTGAAGAGTCGACCATGGAACAAACGCGTCACTGAGTCTTTTTTTGCCCTGGCTGCAAGGGGCAAAATAGGAGCGAATAGCCAGAGTGCTAATAGGCCTGAAGGGTCTTTTTGGCTCGTATTAATTTGGTCTAACTGCACAGGGTCGATTTCTCCTGTCTGTGAACACCTTAAAATGCACTTCACCAAGTTTGAAAATTCAAGCAGGCAAGAGGAATGCATGTATGGCACTCACGATCTCGTTTGCCAAGATTTTTAATGCTACCCGCCTCAGAAAGAGGTGAAATGTCAGACAGAATGCCTCTTCACTTTCATCTCATGGGCGCGCGCTCCAACATGGTGGAGTTGACGTTTACGACAAGGAATGGTCCTGCGTACGTCGGAGTAATACGTAACACTGCGAGAAATATTCTAGGTGGCGTGTGTAATTTGTGCAGCCTGTAGGCTGAATAGAATTGACAGCTGATAGAAATAATAAAGCATGGAAACTGAAGCTATGCGCATTATTTTACTTCTTTTTTTAGCTTCGTATCAAGTGAGATGCGTGACTCAACTGCCTACATTTTGTTTTCGTTGGTGTTGTTGTACTTGTCGCATTGTGCTGGCAGCATTGAGAACGCTTGGTGTGTTTTTGGTGCATTATCTCTAAGAGCAGTTCCAGCGGTGTGACGCTGTGTATCCTGGCAAGGATACATGATACATGCCAGCCTCTGCAAACGTGCACCCATAGAGGGATCGATCCCACAGAAACAGGCATTGCAATGCAGTGAACGCCGAAATGACAACACCGCTTGCGTGCACGACCTGGCATGGGCCTGTCATGCAAATATAGCCTTGCGTGCGCATGACGTGTTGATGAGTCTGCAATGTGTGATCTTCCGGCTCCTAGTTGCTCCAATACTGAAGAGGGTAGGGAAGGAACTTGGCTTGCGAAGATTACACCGGGTGCGTAACTTAGGTTCCGAGGTCATCTTCTCACATCGTGCTTTTATGCCTTGTGATTAAACCGTTAAAAAATTCTAGTGTGCAACAAATTTTAGTGGAAGTAAAATCTCACATGACCTCGCGAAGTGCTGTTTAAAAAGTATAACTGGAAAAAAAAAAGAGCAATCATGTGGACATCCTTTTTTTTATCTACACTCTATTTTTTTTTGATGACACTTCTGGGTCTCGCATCGGTTTTTCATCGTCCTATAGCTGCACAAAAGCACATCCTGTTCCCTACGCATGCAAGCAGATGCCTGTAAGATGTTGAGTAGATGAGGCAATGCAGATGAATACATGTATTGAAAATAGTCATTTGAAAATAGGCATTTATAGGCACTTGTAAGAATTTAGGCACACACATCAAAAATAGGCATTTATAAGCACTCTAAAAAAGCCATAAAGGTGTTCTTAACCTCTAATTCATGCTTACATATCAAAGTGGTGTGATAGGAATGCAAGAAACAAAATAGGCATTTGCCTATAATCTGGTATATACTAAAGATGTTCGTGAACCTTGTTTCCTTATTCACTTGCTATTAGAGGGCAAGCAACGCTGATGGTGTGCATTCGAGTGTTCCCTTTAACAGTGGCTCGTACTGTACATGCTCTTCCCAGTTGCTGCTCGTGTGACATCACCCCTCTGCCCTTCGCGTCTTTTCATATTTGTTCAAGATGGGCGTGGCATTTTTGCTCTGTTTTGATGGTAGGCTTCCCGAGCAGTTTGATGTGCCCTCCGATCGACGGAGATGGGCCGGCTCATTTGATCTCTGCTTTAGCCGCGTTCATTGCCTCCGCTCACGCGCTTTTGCCGAATGAAGCACCCGATTCGCGGAAATATGTTATCAGTTTGAACTTTATATGAGACCTAACAGCGATGGCGAAAACCAGTCAATAGTGTTCATATAATTGCTATCCCAATATGGCTTTAGCACACTTTAAAGCATTCGTAGTGGTCTTTGAAACCCTTGAAAACCCTTAAATTTTTTCAAGGTCCTTAAAAGTTTATGAATTTCGTTGATCAAAGTTCGTTCAGCCATAATCTAGCGGACTTTTCTGTGTGCCTACCAACTATGTGCACTCTGGCCGATAAACCATTTAATCCAATCTGTTTCTCTAGCCATATTGCAGTGTTGTAGTACAGTGTACTTCTAGCACACTGTAGTTGTGATAGCGCTTGCGCGGTTACAGCCAGGCTTAGCGCTTGCGCGGACCTAAGCCTGGCTTTTTTGTGGAGACTGTGCAAGTGTGCGTGCATATTCGCAGTCGCGTCACTTATGGTAAAACTTTGCCGGGCAAGTGCAAATTCCAGCCGTCTTGTTATGCATTGCTGCTTATAGGAAGTGGATTGCACCAGATACGTCAAACTCGCATCAGGCAAAGTTTTCTCATGTGGGAAGAGCTTTGATGTGTCATCTATGGGCAAGTCTGCCCTTAAAAGTCACATGAAGAGTACGAAATACATTGAGAACACAACAGCGACTACAGTCCATGGTAACTTGAGTGTGTTCATGGTGCCAACCTTACAAAGTAAACTACAGATCTTTATGCTGTAAGAAGTGGCGTTGTCATTTTCTGCGGCTTCAAGTGTTATTTTAGGTATTTGAAAAGCGCGTGTTAGGTCCTTGAAAGTCCTTGAGAACACTTGAATTTCGTTTCACTAATCTATGAACCCTGTTTGATGTTTGAAAAATGTGGCATTGGATAAATGTGGCTTCACAAGTGATGTGAACAGGGCTACATCTGATCTGAACGTTCATCGACTGCTCACAACTTGTTCAAAAAAACTTTTCTGCTTGCTCAAAGCCTGCTCCAAAACGTCTTTCCAGATGCTCCCAAACACATGTATCCTGTTCCGTCCCTGCAATGTGTTAATTGCTTTTATTTACCCACTGTGAAGCTGCCTTGCGTGACCAGTTTTTCACCTGAAGCTTGGCCATCCTCACAACCAATTCCTTGGCCGTCCTTACAACTCAATTGCAAATGAGTGCAGTTAAATTCTGCTTACCAGGCCTTCTCTGCCAGGACACCAAGCACTGCTAAGGAAGGGAGCTGTAGGCATGGAGTTCTATGGTGAAAAGTAGCAGTTTATTTTGAAACAAGCAGTTTCATAATTCTTGGTTTAGGGGTAGCTTATACCATCACAAACAATGGGCCAGGTGACTGAGGTAGGTGACTGCATCCTAGCAGAGCAAGCCTTCGGTTTTTTTTTACCTCCTAGCAGTCATCTTTGTCTGCTCTTTTTCTTAGAACCTTGTTTGTGTGTGTGACTTAGTTACAGATCTAGTGTGACAAATGGCTGTTCTGTAAGATGGGCCTCATTTTCGTGATAGGTGCGCCATCTCCTCAGGCACAACGCAGCCCGAGGCCTCAGTCGATGTGTGAATGGCGCCACCTGGCAGGAGCCACTCCGAGGACAGGTGTTCATGAAATTCGAGTGAGTGCCACCTTTTGGACCATTATATTTTTTGCTACCTGTTACATCGCAAGCTGGCACACTGCTGATAAAACCTGGCATTGGTGTCACAAACATTGGTAAGAGCGCAAAAATGCACTTGTAATTTTTCCAAGGATCACACATCACATGCTGAGCTTGATTTCTATTTTTTGTCTATCACAAAACTGTTATCGAAGCTTAAAAAAGAACTCGTAAAAAAATTTTTCCTATGCTGCAGTAAGTTTTCTGTAATATTTGAGCATGGGTGTTGGCAGGAGCATGCCAGCTTTTTTCCTCCACTTGAGCTATACCAATGCTTCACCCGTCCCACAGTAGCGATGCGAACTCCAAAACAAAATTCTGTCGATGCCCATGCACCTGAACAAGCATGCATCGCGTCATTAGGGATAACTGATCGCATTCCAAGAGAAAGCAAACGTGTGAAGGGGAGACAGAAGGTTAGGTGGGATTAAGGCCCGTATGGACTCACAAATGCTCCTCATGGCATCTTTGAGGGCTGTTTCGTGGTTCTAAAATCGCCCCCAACTTTAAACTCCTCAAGTGGAGAGAATCTTCAGTGTGTTACTCAAGAATGTCGAGGTAGCCAGGACACGCTACTCAGTACTGCTTGCATCTAAACACGGCTCATTGTGTCACTATGTTTCTGATGAACCTGCAAGTGATGTTGAAGCAATGGATTATGTGCCTAGGCATTGTTTAAGGGATCTACTGAATCCTCTGAAAGATTGCAGTGACATGGAGGGTTTGTTGCTGCGGCTGATGTGCACAGCGGCACCATTTTATAAAAACTATTCCCCTAGCCACTGTTACAGGTAACGCTGTGGGAATCTGAGGCGTGCTTGTAACCATTTCGCGGGCATTCCGTTGTACGGCCGCTCTTCTTTTCCTTTCCCGTGCTCTGATAACGGCGCGTGACGATAGATGGCATCACGCCTGGGCGCGGCGCGTGTTTTCGGGCGTTGCGAGAATCGGCGAGGCCGAGTCAAGTGCGCGTCAGAAAGGGTCTCTCCTCCTTTGGCCAGCACCTGGTAAGCACAACATATTCCTTTGTTCGCGTCCCCTTTGGGAATAGCCCGACTGTAGCCTGCCTGGGAGCCTAGGCATCTCAGCCAGGCGTGTTTACCTGAGTGTTAACTTGGGTACCATACGCTAAGCCAACAGCAGTGCCTAGTGCTTGAAATGGTCGCAGCGCGCCAAGTTGCACTTGCCGTAGGCCTACACGTACAAAGTGTGCCCTAACTCTCGCGACCAGGCTGAGTGGCCATTGTGAGAGTGCGCAGCGACCAGCGTGTCACAGCTCGCCATTGCCCGCTGCGATGTGCTCACGGTTTCTTAACGTGAGCATGTGGGAGCCTTTGTTCTCCGCGTCCTGGGAGCGGACGTCGTACTGTTGTTCGGGGTGCCGCGAAAGGCAATAAAGTGTTTGTGTAGTGCTGTTAATCGAATACTGTCTGTTTTGCCGCGCCGCGCTAAACGCTTTGTTCGTTGAGCACACGTGGAGGGGTGCGCTACGTGTGAGTAGATGACGGTGATGGGGCCCTGTGGCTCACTAAACCTGAACGTGGTGATCATCCACTACGGTGAGTAGCAAGGCCACCACAACACGGAGCGCCAAGACGGGCACTGCTCGAAGTATTACGGCGCAAGCGCAATCAGTGCCAGAGGTGGGGTTAGCTGGGTGTTGTCTGCTATGCTTTCTCCCACTTCACCGTAAGCTGGCAAATCTACATTGCACATGCAGTTTTACCAGAGCGTGTGTGGCAAAGTGGGAGGAACCGTAGCTGACAACGCGCAGCTAACTATGCCTCCGGCACTGATTGCGCTCGCTCATAATATTTCATGCAGTGCCTGCTTCATGGTCGGAGGAGCACCGCCAAGCACGCCATGTTTCCTGTAACAGCGGTCACGCCTGTACAGTTCGCATAGCACAGGTCATAAGAACGTACCTCCACCTGCTTAGGCGCATGAAAAATTGGTTTACATGTTTGAACTATTTACTTGCGTATTGCCTGGTGTCCCTCTTTTCATGCAAATCCTTCTTTTCCCCACCAATTTATAAGGTCGTACCAGAGCTTGTGGAGCTGCTTTTCTGTTCGTGGCATAGTGTACGGTTGTGAGTCAGCAGACAGGCTTTTCAGTTCATTAATCTTTGCTTCCACTGAACTGCGCAATAAGGGAGAGTTGGGGTAGTTGGACTGAAACTGTGCAAAAGACAAAGCTAAAAAAAAAAAGCCTTGAAAGCACGAGTTCTCGTGTTGTCAAGTTTTTCTTTGTGCTTTGTTTTTTGCACTGTTCTAATATGAGTTTACTGTACTGCCATTTGTGCGACGGTTTCCTGTCACGTGCATACTTTTCAACTAGTGACATCAGGAGCTTCAGCTCCTGTACTGAGTAAACAAAGCGTCCCTCTTGTTAGTGGCACTTTTCCTGTTTTTGTTCATAGCAGAAATGGGCCTAAATGCGTTGCATAGACAATCAGTGCATGCCAACATAAACAACAGGAAGCTTGATCAAATGTGCTGCGCACCAACAAGCTGTCTGCTGTCGTCGGCCAAATACAAGAAGGGTTTTGTGCAACATCGATCTGGCTTGTAAGGAGTTAGTTTAAATAAACTTTTGTATATAATAACTACGGTATGTTGAGTAAATTTAGACAGGCCTCCTTTATTGCCATTAAAACAAATATAAATGAATAAAAAATTCGCTATGACGCTTGTACAAACACTCGCAAAAAAATGTGTTGCCAACATTTGCTTCATCTGAAAAGCATTCATTTCGTGGTCATGTTTTCTGGTCCACAGAATTAATGCCGCAACAGGCAAGTCGAATGGGTAAAAGCAACAATTGTGGTTTCCTCTTTTGTGTGTTTTTATGCCTGTGAGTTTCCTTTCAGCAGAATGTTTCTGTGAAGGATTGGACCAAAAAAAAAAAAAGCAGCGCTGTGTGAGTTTTCTCTTTCGAAAGAGTCATTGTCTAGAGAGAGCTATTATTGAACCCATTGCCACCAGAGTAATGTGCATACTGCACGTATGCATGGTGTGATCTTCAATGCTTGAAATAACGAAATGTGGCACCATTCACTTACCTTGATATGTTGCCAGATACGACACTGTCAGGAGCTCTGTCACCACTATTTCTCTACTGTACCACTGACTCAAAATGCTTACAACAATTGTTTACTATGGAGATTGAAAGCATCTTGTTTTGATGCTCCCAGAATGCGTCCCTCAAATGCGGTCAAGTGGAGGATGCCTTTGTGAAGGGCACCTTGTCAGAGAAAACATCCACGTATGCAACTCGAGTTGAAAAGAAGTATTTTCCTCAACTCAATGGCGTCGAGGTGGAGCATTGAGTCGAGCGTGAGTACAGGTTCAAGAATTTAACGGGTATAACATTGGCAACAGGAAGCACCTGGCCGGGCCAATCACTGGAACATGAGAGAAGGCCCGCAGTGGGATTAGTCAGGCTGATGATGATTATGTTCCACCACGTGTCTTTCATTCCAATGTTCCAAACACATGCCCCTGACATCTGTGACGCAGCCTCTCTACAAAATCATGAGACATGGCTCCGAAGATTTCTATGAGCGCCGCCCCCCACAAAGCGTGGTCTTTCCTACACACACGCTTATCAGACGCGTGATTTGAGAGAACCCAAAGGTCACTTGGGCTCTCTCAAATAGCGAAGAAGTTTTACAGAGATCTGTACAGTAGCTGGGACAACCACGACCTTAATACTATAAGAGCTAGCAGTACCCCAGATGACATTCCACCAGTAATGATAGAAAAAGTCAGAAAAGCTTTGGAGAAGATGCAAAAAGGCAAAGCTGCTGGTGAGGATCAGGTAACACCAGATCTGCTGAAAGATGGAGGACAGAAGTGGACAGAGGAGGTGTGTTAGAAAAACTAGCCACCCTGTTTACGAGGTGTCTCCTGACAGGAAGAGTACCAGAATCTTGGAAGAATGCTAACATCATCTTAATACATAAAAAAGGAGATGACAAGGACTTGAAGAATTACAGGCCGATCAGCTTGCTCGCTCTCCGCAGTAAAAAAGCTGTTTACAAAGGTAATTGCTAACAGAGTTAATAAAACATTAGGATTCAATCAACTCAAGGAACAAACAAGTTTTCAAACAGGCTACTCAACAATCGACCACATTCATACTATCAATCAGGTAATAGAAAAATGCTCAGAATATAGCCAACCACTATACATAGCCTTCATTGATTACGAGAAGGCGTTTGATTCAGTAGAAATATCAGTAGTCATGCAGACACTGTAGAATCAGGGTGTCATTGAAGCATATATAAACATCCTGAAAGAAATCTACAGGGGATTAACTGCTACAATAGTGCTTCATAAAGAAAGCAACAGAATACCAATCAAAAAGGGTGTAAGGCAGGGGGACACAATATCCCCAGGGCTATTTGCCGTGTGTTTACAGGAGGTTTTCAGAAGCCTAGAATGGGAACAGTTAGGGATACAAGTTAATGGAGAGTACCTTAGTAACCTGCGCTTCGCCGATGACATTGCATTGCTGAGTAACTCAGGAGACGAATTGCAGCTCATGATTAAGGAGTTAGACAAGGAGAGCAAAAGGGTGGGTCTTAAAATTAATCTGCAGAAAACGAAAGTAATGTACAACAACCTCGGAAGAGAGCAGCGCTTCAAGATTGGTAGCAGTGCATTTCAAGTTGTAAAAGACCATGTCTACTTAGGGCAGGTAATAACCGCGGAGCTGAACCACGAGACTGAAGTAACTAGAACAATAAGAATGGGGTGGAGCACATTTGGCAAGCACTCTCAAATTATGACAGGTAAATTGCCACTATCCCTCAAGAGGAAGGTATATAACAGCTGTATCTTGCTGGTACTTAGCTACGGAGCAAAAACCTGGAGACTTACAAAGAGGGTTCAGCTTAAATTGAGGACGACACAGCGAGCAATGGGAAAAAAATGGTAGGTGTAATGGTGGGG